CGCAGCTGTGGGTGTGATGAGCAGGTCACATAAAAATAATTTCGGGCTCCGGGAGTTATTTTTAGACTGTGGTAGCTGCCACACTTCAGGTAACGGTCTCTACTAACACTGCTTTCTATTAACAATTAGGAACACACCTTGTGCTGCAAACCTCCCCCAAGCCTAGAACTACCTTATTTAAATAAACTATTTAAACTACATCCCCCTCCCCCCAGAAATAAAGGACCTGTTCGCTCCGAAGATGTGGAAAAAAGTAGAAAGCGGACAGGTACCCTGCACTCTGATTTCTGGGTGACCAGGTACTGCTGCGTCCCTGGCCTAACCAGTCAGTGTCTGCCTGGGCAGAACCAGGCCCTGGCACAGCCCCTGCAGGTGGCAGACTGCGTGCCCCGTGTTCCATTTCATGGGAAACAAACCCCAAAATGTATGCTCGTTCGGGAATTACTGTGGGCATTTCTTCCCTTCCCGCCCCTTCCAAACCCCAGAGCCCAACCTAATACTCTAGGTCAGCGGTTCTCAACCTGTGGGTCGCGACCCCTTGTGGGTCGCGACCCCTTTGGCGGTCGAACGACCCTTTCACAGGGGTCGCCTAAGACCATCCTGCATATCAGATATTTACATGACGATTCATCACAGTAGCAACATTACAGTTATGAAGTAGCAACGAAAATCATTTTATGGTTGGTCACAACATGAGGAACTGTAAAGGGCCAGAAGGTTGAGAACCACTGCTCTACGTGTTCAATGGACATGTTTGGATAGAATAAATGAACCACCTCCCCATTCCCTTTTCAATAGAGAGCGGGGATTTTGCCAGCTGCTGGGTAAGCCTGAAGTAGGTGAAAACAGCTGATGTGCAGCAAAAAAAGGTGATATGCCGTCGCCACTCTGGATGTGAGCTTTCACCTGTCTCCTTTCACCCCTTCCTCATGGCAGCCTTATGAGTAGTTTTATGACCCCATTTTACAGATTAGAAAACTGAGGTTAAGAGAGGTTGACGTGACCTGTCTAAAGATGCACAGCAAGCAACTGCGCAGACTTTTAAACCTTGCTTTCCCCACTTCTAAACACACCCAACAACTTTCCTTAAACGTGGAAAGAACTAGGTTCGTTGACATACCCATTGGAAAGGGTTTGCTTGGCCCAGGTTTCCTGCTGGTTTTAAGTTTGGGCTCCTTTACACCCCCCTGTCCGCCCCAGAAGTGTCCTTGATCAACCTGAGGCAGGAGAGTGTCGAAGTGGGCTGCGGTGGAAAGGATTGAGGGGAGCCCCACTTTAAGGAGGCTCTCTTGTACTTGCAGGTCTGGTTTCCATGCCTGCGGTCTAAGATGGTGCAGCTGGTAAAGGGTTGGGGCACAGAATCATATTCAGTTTTGTTTTTCGTGGGACTTATGGTTTAAATTTCCTCGACACCTGCCTCAATGGATGACAATCTTGATCCAACATTTATTTTTTAAGTTTGTTGGTTTTGTTTTGGTTTTTTTTCTTTATTT